GTCATCCATCACGCAGCGCTGCTATCTCTAGCAACGTCTCACTTCGCAGGCAAAATCTCGCGGGTACACAAAGTCGTTGATAGACCCGTATCTCAAGTGCAGCCTAGATTGGACCATCTTCTATCTTTGTATAGGTCTCGTACGCGAAGTGGAAAAATGCCTCCGGACTTTCCTGATGATCAACTTTGAGAAGCATCTCCTGGTTTTTGGCTTCCCTGGAGTTTTGCGATGCCTCATGAACACTTGCTTGCAGCACTGTATCAAATAGGAAAAGTAAACATCCCTTCTAATAGGAGTACTCCTTCGTATTGCAATAGGGCATATTGAGAGCTGTTTTAATATAAACAGAGAATACAGAAGACTACAACACTATTAGTTTTTGCAGGTTTTCTTGTTAGGAGATGATATAGGCTATAAGGTAGAGTTTGTTATCTCTGTGCCTGTCTAGTTTTTTCTCTCCTGTATAGGTGCAGAACAAAGAGCAAGGCGGTGGCCGTAGTCGATAATGATATCCAAGCGTGGCAGGCTTTACTACCAGATAGAGCTGACATGAGGCCTTGGTTGAGCTGGTTTGTTGGTAGCTCTTTTGCAAGGGTTAGGCCTGGGATTGGCCATGACTGCAAAGTTGACAAAGGAAGTATCACGAAGGGTATAGTTGTAAGCATGGCCAAAATTAGAGGGCTTAGAGTACGTTTTAGTTGATGGTTGGCTATGTTGTGGCTGAGGTATGATCATCTTGTATTGCAAAATCGCTAATATACATGCAGCTCCGATGTTCACTTGCAACTACCAAAGACGAAGTGCAAAGCGCGCCGGCGGGTGTGTTTATGTTCATGATATTGAACGATGTTGCTAGGACATGAAATTTCAGGTATAGTTGACGGCCGGGAATAACTTGCAAGAGCGGTACGCCGAGGTGTGCGTCTGCATTGAATAAAACTTGCTCTCGAGATATGGTATCTGTTGCTAACATTCATCCCATATTATCAAATCACCAGTAACTATAAAAACAATCGAAGGCAAGAGCTGAGGTAAAAATTTGTCCATGAAGAGGATAATCTTTCACGTTCCAGTAAGACACCCAAGATACCTGAAATTAGGATGTGCTACACGCACTGATCAAGTTGAGTAATCGTCAAGGGTGGGGAGCTTCCCAGAATCACTGTAAAATGAGCCGCATCCTGAACGCATTGATGAACACGGGTTGGCGAATAGTGGTGTAGAGATACGGGAGATGGCTGAAGAGAACTATCGGAGAGGTGCGATGACACGTCCCGGTCCTCGGAACGCTAATCAACGCGCTTGTCACTTAACAGGCAGGAGAAAGCCCATATCAAGCTTTTTGGCATCCGGCATCGAAGACTTGTCAACGGCAAGCTCCAAAAGCTTATCTTTTTCTCCAATGACAGTCACACGTGCGATCTTGCCGCTTCCGCCCCTGCGTTCATGCTTGTCTGACGGCGTGGGTGGCGCAGCCGACGCGATCTACATTCGCGTACCTGCCGTCAAGGTTGTATAAGAAGACGACAGCCTACTTGCTTACTGCCGCGCACTGCCATTCACTCTATCTTGACAATGCGGTCTTTTGCCTTTGGCGCTTTTGTCTCCATAGTAGCGCCTGCATTGGCCTGCGAAGGCCATCACAGCTGCTACGGACCGTTGAAAGACGATGTCGTCCTGACCAGAAACGTTCGACGCATGCAACCGGACGCGCAGAATGCGACCACAACACCCAAGGCGCCTCTCGAATGGGGTCAAATCAATTTTATGCATACTACCGACACCCATGGATGGCTTGAAGGTCATATCAAGGAGCAGAATTATGGTGCGGACTGGGGTGACTACGTTAGCTTCACCAAGCACATGAAGCAGAAAGCTCGGAGTCTCGGTGTCGACCTGCTTCTTGTAGACACAGGGGTTAGTGTTTCTCATGTTGCCCTGGGGACGATCAGGGCCACGCGCGTGGTTGAGAAATATAGCAATTCCACTAACATACGACAGGACCTGCACGACGGTGCAGGATTGAGTGATGCAACATCTCCCAATGGCAACGTCTCGAATGTTATCTTCGAAAATGTCGACTACGACTTGTTGACCATTGGAAACCACGAGCTCTATGTTACCGAGATCGCCTACGAGACCTTCAGCAACTTCTCCAAGGTCTACGGAGACAAGTATCTCACTAGCAATGTACAGATCATCAACCCAGCTACTGGCCAGTTCGAGTACATCGGATCTCGTTACCGTTACTTCACCACCGAACAGGGTAATTTGAATGTCTTCAAGAGTGGCTAAATGCTGATATAGACAGGGCTCCGAATCATGGCTTTTGGCGTTCTCTTTGACTTCACTGGCAACAGCAACGTCTCCAAGGTTATCAAGGCAGCCGACATGGTGAAGCAACCGTGGTTCCAACAAGCCGTGAATTACACCGAGCCGATTGATCTGTTCGTGATCACTGGTCACAACCCGGTACGGACAAGTGTCTCCAGCAGCACGATGGGCACTGTCTTCAAGGCTATTCGCAGCATCAAACCAGACGTGCCTATTCAAGCTTTCGGTGGACACACGCACATCCGAGACTTTGCTGTATACGACAACAAAGCTACGGGACTTGAGTCTGGTAGGAACGTGTGACAAGTTCTGATGTAATTATCTAACATCATTCCAGGTCGTTACTGTGAAACTCTAGGTTGGCTCGCTATGTCCGGTATCGAATCGAAGACTTGCAAAGCACAACACAACCCCAAGGGTGTACCAAATCCTACTCGTAGCGCGATAGTACCAGCGAGTACAGGGACTGCATCTGCCAGTGTGCATCTGCCTACATCTTCTTCAAATTCCACAATCCGCTACGCTCGGCGATATCTGGACTGGAACCGTAACACGTTCGCTTATCATGCTGAGAACAGTCAACCCTATACCACATTTGACACATCTGCTGGCACTAGCATCAGCGCCGAGATCACTTCAGACCGAAGCAAGCTCAATTTGACCGATTTGTACGGGTATGTGCATTGACTATTCGCACGATCTAAGATGTGGACTAAATCTTGAATAGTTGCGCACCAGAGACATACTGCCAGTACTGCAAGCCTTTCCTGGCTGAAGGTAATATTTTTGGACTGCTACAGACTGCATTGGCTACAGTCGTCGTGAATGAAACGCGCAAGGATGTTCCAAGACTCATCATTATCAACACTGGATCTGTTCGTTTTGACCTTGCCAAAGGTCCCTTCACATACGATGACTCTTTCATTGTATCTCCCTTCGATGATGCCTTCCAGTTCATCCCCGATGTACCCTACGAGCAGGCTTCTCAGGTGCTTGGTATACTGAACGCTGGTGCCTTCCAGAAGAAGAAGCGGGATCTTGAGACTGCCGACTTTGGCTTCAGCCCCATCCTCGCAGACCGAGACACCTGCCTCGATCCGCCACTCACTCACCACTACGAAGGGGTTACACGCCGATCGAAGCAAGGTGGACGTCTTATCCGCCGCCAATCTACTGCTCCTAATCCAGGTTATACGACAAAGGACGACTTCGGTACCGATGGAGATGATACAATGCACTCGGCTATCCCAGACTACTCGCAACCCAACGACCTTCAGGCGAATGGCTCTTTTCCGCTTGATGGATCCATGCCAAAGACCGTTGATCTTGTTTTCTTGGATTTCATTGCTAGCTACATTGTCAACGCTCTTAACCAGCCAGATGTTGGGGGAGACTTCTCGCTCAGTCAGGTATCGTACTACATGGACAAGAGCTTTACTACCAACAGCTACCTACCAGCCTATGCTAAGATCGCCTGGCAGGCGAATGTACCAAACTGCCCTGTCGGAGAGGGAATTGGTGCCTCGTAATGTACAAAGTACTAACCGAGATATTGCTGTGCTTGTACAACAGTGTATGGAATGTGAACCGTGAGGAGATCGTCAGTATAAGAATAGCCATAGCAATGTCAAACCAGCGCTTCCGCATGTGTTACAAAATACAACCTCAGGCCATGCTTCTCGCAAGATGAAGAAGACGTCAAACCAACTACCCAAAGTCTGCGCCATTACCCTTGGGGCTTTTTCGGGCTCATGACACGAAACCTTCGATCCTTTTGTGGGATGACCACTCGCCATCAACGAAAAAGTTAAATCGCAAGGCGACGAGCTCCTTCGTGCAGCGCGCCATACTTCTCTGAATGTATTCCAATATACTATTCGGCATGAGCCAAGATTCATGAATCCTCTACCAATGAACAAAAGGCCCTTTCAAGCTGCCGAAAGACCCTCACTCTTCCAATTCTAGATATCGTCAGGAAACTCCCAGGGGTTTTTGCAGCAAAAGACAAAAAGAAGGTTAGTGCGACGCGCTAACGACGCGAGCACAGTCCACTCGCCTGGACAAGAACCTGAGGCAAACAGAACCATTCCTCTCACACTACCCGTTTGAGAGTTCACCCCGTACCAATACTCCGCTGTCTTATCGCTCAATGGACCTATGACAGCTGCAGCGCATGCAGCATGCGCCACATGCACAGCAGACTAGGCCCGACATGTGAATATGCGACGCGAACCACGGGCCGAGGAGCTTAGGCCTACCACGCGTGGTGCAGCTTTTCTCTACGAAAGCAACCTGCCCACGGCAAAAACGCAGGTACCGTGTCTGATTTCTATAGCAGACTGGAGCTAGCGTTGCTTGGCTATGCTGGTGGTGCAATGAGTCGAGTTTAATAATGTGGCTGATATCCGATCTTCGTAGGGGTAGGTATCTTCCGTTTCCTCTTTGTGGATTCTCTCCACAGATTTGCTTCTATATCTTCGTCGTTTACACTCGCTGGCGAGGGTTTTGAAGTTCGGTATACGCTCCTTGACTGCCATTCGTTTCGTTATATCTTTTAATACTCGTCTTATCGTTCGTGTGCTACTTGGGCGTCATTTCCTACAGATATCTTTGCAAATCACAGGCACTCCTTCCACTCTTTACTTGACAGGCTTTACGCACGCGATATGCAACTCTCTAGCCTTCGTGGCACTCTGGTGGTTTTTTTGATCGCATACCTCAACACCGATGTTGCTGCGATCTCGAGAGATGATCTTGAGACGCACCGGCTGCTGCGAGCGGCCACGAAACGGTCAGACCTCTACAGGAGAGGCCTGAGGATCACCACGAGATTTGAGACCGAATTGGCTTACGTTGAGAGTATGTTGGAGTCATCTCGTCCTTCCACAATATCGCTAACAGTGTGCCAGATGAGAACGTCTGGAATGACGAGTCTACATTTGCTTCACAGGTCAAAGTCAGCTCGCAGAAACCTCTGCTCAACTTGGAAGAGCATGAACACCATCTGCAAGATGTACAGTGTGACGACGATACGATGAAACTGCACTTTGTAGATACTTCCTCAGCACGAGATGCCCGATCGGCTTGTCATGGTGCTCACGGAGGCCTAATTATTACGTCACATGATAGCTGTAATAAGGAGGGTGAACGATCGGTATATCAGTAAGCTTCTGACAAGTATCTCAAAGACTTTCTCTGATGATCCCAGGGTACATGATGCGTCATTCGCTAAGGATGGAGAAGCCCTTGAGCTATCCGTCTCAAAGACGACATGGCAAGCAGCGTTTGACTACGTGGACATCTCATTTGGTCACACTGCGGAGGACCATGTATACCGGCGCCATTCCGACTTTACGAGGCTCCGCCGCAAGCGACAGAATAGAATCGACATACCTGCAGACACTCCCGACGATGTCAATACTGTCGCCTTTGACCTGGGATCAGAGCTTCTCAACAAGACCTTCGGCCTTGAATCCTTCTTGTCAGCAATATCTCCCGGGAACCCAGTGCCCGAAACATCGGTACCAATTGAGATTGGATGTAAGAGGTGTACGACAAGTGGGCAGCTCGCTCTTACACAGGGCGCCTTCAAGATTGACGCTTCACAAATTGATCTGATTCCGGACGCCTTCGAAGGCGGAGATGATGGGAAAGAAATCACGAGTGTGATTACTGGTGGCTTCGTCGAGCTTGTGGCTACTGGTGTTGGTGCACGACTTGAGTTGTTTGCCAGACCAGTCAGCTCTGGTGAATTCGAGATCACCTTGTTCCAGGTTCCAATCGCTGGTTTCGTGATTCCTGGCGTTGGCAAGGCTGGAGCTATCTTTGAGCCAAGGATTGCGTTCGACTTTGAGGTGCGCGGTACACTCGAAGTCAACTACGGGCTTGAGGTCACAGTATGTATAGTCTTCTGGATAATCGTGGCCATTTGATACTGACGTTATCAGGTTCCTGATGGTTCCAGCCTCCGAGTGGAACTTACGGATCTTGCCAGTAGCAGTCTCACTGGTTTCCAGGAGTCCAGACTCACTCCGTTGCCTGTCGAAGTCAATGTGACTGATGCAGAGATTCTACTCGGTCTCGCCTTCGTACCTTCGATACCGATTGGGTTCGAATTCCTGGATCAGCTGAAGGCTGAAATAACACCTTCTTTGCAGTTACCCCGTCTGGACGCGAAGCTATCGAGCAAGATTGCCGAGAACTGCGGTAATGGCAGTAACAACACTCATTCAGATGCGCCATTTGCGAACCACACGGCAGGATTATCCCCCGAACTCATCAAATTGGGCCCTCTGGCCTTGGTCGAAGCAAACGTCTCTCTTTCGATCGATATCGCTCTAGACGTTTCCTTGCCACCCCTTCCACCACCTTTCAATGCAGTTGGAATTGAAGAGAATATCTTCACCGCAGTCTTTCCTTTGTTATCGTCCTGCGCATCGCCCGACGATGCTTTCAACAACGCTACAGGCGTCGTAATCCCCCCCTCAATGGCTAGCCACAACGCCACGGCACCGATGCTGAACGCTACCATGGGAATGGCGCGTGCTGATAATACAGCGGCACTTGTCAGTGAAGAGGCGGCCGCTCCGACACTTGACCCGAGCATCTCTTTTATATTCGCTAGTGATGTGGTGTCTTCGACTTCGGAGTTGATTGCTACTTCGACGCCGATCAGTACTATCGTGTCAGCAACTTCTCTCACAAGTACTAGACCGACACTGATGAGTAGCACAAGGTCTACAACCTATCTTGCAAAGACTACTTCGACACAGGCAAGTTATACTGCTTACACAATTCCTTCACTGAGCACTACTTCTACAATAGTGAGCGAGACAGTTTCCACGCCTTGTACTTCTTCTCTGTTATACCCTACTTCGACGATTGCGATCGAGAAAACCTCTACTACTTGTACTACTTCTCTAAAGCCCACTTCGACACTGATCGACTACACTGTCTCTGCGACATCATCACCATGTACTACTACATCGACAGCGGCCTATGGTTACACCACATCGTCAACGTCCCCTCTGGAGACTACGACAACGCCATACGACACCACTTGGACGAGTCTTACCACAAGAACAACTTACATCACTGTGCCTGAGTCTATAGCGACTTCGACCCCTTGTTCGCTTACATCAACCCTTACGACGAATAGCTCGACATTTTCGGAACCGCAATATGCCACTGTGCTCCCGGTTTATTCCACAAAAACACCGGTTGAGTCCGCATCGCCGAATTCATCTCCACGCCCATCTTCATCGTTCATTCCTGCTTATAACACCTCGAGTTCGGCAACTCCAGTTTCGTCATCTGCAGTATCGGTTACACCAATTGCATCCACACCCATCATGCCTGAGAACCTGCCTCCACCAGCACCGGTAGTTACCATGTCGGTTGGATTCTTAGTCCCAAGTAATGGCAGCGCCGCACCCACAAATCGAACAGGCCTCCCAGAGTTTACTGGAGCTGCGACAAGGGTGGTGTCTGTGTCCAAGACAGAAGTCATGCTGGGATGGTTGGTTGGTGTAGTCGGCTTTCTAGCCATTGGAGCACTGTTCTAATCTCAGTTCTTTTCGACCTGTCAAATAGATACCCTTGTGCTTGATTTGCCCACCATCCTGCTCTGCGTTGATCTTTTGCCCATTGTAAGCACAAAGAATTCTCTTGTAGTGTTGATATAGGATTCTGATTGACTACTGAAGCTTCGCAATTGTAGCCAATATGTCTTTGCGCTGAGACACTACATCCGGTCTGTATATGTCCACACAGATTGGAGCTGGGTAAATGCCAACCTCGTCTACGATTAGCTTCATCAATCATTTCTAGAGTAATATCTGCTTCTCTCAAAAATACTGGTTCTCTCTAGTTGCTCTGAAACCGCGATATCGTGATTCATCTCGCCTGATTGTTTGTTTCTCTTTTGTAGTGAAGACAAATCCGCCAGCGAAAAGACATCCCGCAACCTACGGCGACTTCATTGGCATCTCTGTATCAAGCCTACGCCATCCAAAACACGGCAATGCGGCTTGCAATAGAGAGCTTGTTGTTTCTGTCTGCTCGGGTTTCCCTCTGCATGAGGTGCTTCCACCAATCTGCGCTCTGGCTCCTACGACCACCAGCCATCTGCGATACTGAGCCTCTCGCAAAAAGAAGTATACAGCATCACGATCATGCCCGGATGCTGCGATTCCAAAAAGAAATGACTCAAGCGAGGCTCGAACTCGCGACCTTTCGCGTGGTCACTGTGATTGTGAGGCGAACGTGATAACCAACTACACCATCGAGCCGATGTTTCATGCTGAACGAGCAAATTAGCACAAATATAATTTGTGGCGAGACATGTCGGCGAGCAGACTGGGAGCAGCTCGTTGAGGCTCGGTGCGGGGCATCAGGGGTTCGAGCTCGTGGATACCTGCCCTCCCTTACGAACGCGAGACGGGTATCCCAATAAGCGATCTAGGACAAGCCGAGGTATTTTCCTTATTGATATTCTCGATGACGTGATGCGTCATCTGTGACCAGACGTAGCCATGGTAATATTGCGTTTGTGTGGCCAGCATGTCGTGTAAGGCCCTTACACAGGGCGTTGCTTACTCCACACTCAGCGCAGTATAACATCTGACGAGGTGCTTCCGATCTTGCAAACGATCTTCGTTCCCATACTTCTCCTGAGGTGTACCCTAGTTTGCAATGTCGACGCTCAAAGAACAGCTGCCATGGACGTCGTCGCCGCTAATCATGAACGCGCCTATGGCGGGGTTCGCAGGTGGTAAACTCGCGTCGGCTGTAACGCTCGCGGGTGGCCTTGGTATGATCGGAGGTCTGTTCAATATGGAAGACGTAAAGAAAGAGCTGCGTACTGCCGCAGAAGCCTTTAGAGCCAAGCCTGACCTCTCGACATCGCGTACCCTTCCAGTTGGTCTCGGCTTCCTCCCTTTCATGCTAAAGCTGCAAGACATTCTCCCAGTAATCGAAGAGTTCAAGCCTGCCGTGGTCTGGCTATTCGTTCCGAAATCGTTAGACGACTTCGCGGAATGGGTGTCGGCGATACGCAAAGTCTCACCAGAGAGCAAGATCTGGATTCAACTCGGTAGTGTGGCAGCAGCTCTTCACGTCGCGAAGATCGCGCAACCGGACGTTCTGTGTCTCCAAGGTGCGGATGCTGGGGGTCATGGCTTCGAGAAGGGTGCAAGTATCGTTTCACTGTTACCAGAGGCGTCGGATGCACTTGCCGCGGGAGGCTTCTCACATGTGCCCATCATAGCATCAGGCGGTATCGCTGACGGACGCGGCGTTGCTGCCGCACTCACACTGGGTGCTGAGGGCGTTGTGATGGGGACGCGTTTTCTGGCTTCGGAAGAGGTGAACGTACATCCCGTGTACCAAGCTGCAGTCCTGGAAGCACAAGATGGCGGTCAAGTGACGACGCGTTCGAAGCTGTTCGATCAGCTGCGCGGCCCCAACATATGGCCAGAGCTGTATGATGGACGCGGCTTGGTAGCCCAGAGTCACCGGGATTCTGCGAGTGGCATGAGCCTAGAAGAGATACAAAACTTGCACAACGAGGCTGTTACAGGCGAAGACAAAGGATACAAGACGGGCTTGCAAGGGCGCGCGGCGATTTGGGCTGGCACTGGTGTGGGTTTGGTCAAGGAAGTGCAAAGTGCGGGAGAGATTGTGCGGAAGGTGCGACAAGACGCTAGAGATATTTTGGCCAGAGTGGCGAAGCTGTAGTAGGAAGGAGTGGTGGTGTGTACGGAAAACTACTCCATCACAGCATGTGTTCATTCTGATCTGCTCGTTCAGCATGAAACATCGGCTCGATGGTGTAGTTGGTTATCACGTTCGCCTCACATTCACAGTGACCAACGCGAAGGGACAAAGTAACCGTCCTGTATTCTAGCACTAATGACTACTGAAAACTCATACCTAAAATCCATGGCCTTCTCTTCTCTAAATCCAAGATCATCTGCCCGAACAGCCCATTCGCCCAGCTGAACCACTGCCGACTCCACACTGCCTTATCCCTCGCATGCACGCTCTCATGCATGAGACCCAAGCCATCCGTACTCTGCACTAGCCACATCAAATTCTTAACAATCTCCGTGTCGTCTTCACTAGTCAATATTGTCATGATAAGTGCCATAGGCCACGGTCTGCCAGGTAGTGTATGCGGACTCCCAACACCAGTAATTACAGGCCCGACAGCATAGTACGGGTTGTCCCTGCTCAAAATCTTGCGTCGTGTGTTCTGGTAGATAGGGTCGCGCAGCGTCGTATAACCAAGAAACGGAGCTGAGAGAAGAGAGGGTACATTGGGATCATCCATGATATTGACAGAACCGTAGCCGTCGACTTCATAGGCATATATCTTGCCGTAGGTGGGGTCCGAAACTATTCCGTACTTTTCTATGCCGCGATTGATGGCCGTACTCAAGGCTTGCATGCGTGCCGTCAAGCCGCTGGTGCGAGGCATGATTCTCGATGTTATTGTTGAAGAGGTGTTGAGGGCGGATGAAAACATCATGTTGGAGGGGATAAGGTACTGGTATGTGCACGCATCATCGCTGGGGCGGTGAAAAGAGCGTATGAGACCAATATTTCCTCTGTGAGGACTGCCATTACAGTTGTTGATTGGAGTGCCGCCGTAAGGTGCGCAGTAGGTGTAAGGGGTATGTTGCCATTCGCCGTCTTCGGTGTAGCTGTCTATAGTCATGCTTTCTGCTGTTTCAAGCACGACTTCAACGGCTTTGGTCCAGTTACTGGAATTCTGGAAGAAATCATAATCCCTTGTTGCAGTCACATAATCGACGGAGAGCTGCAGGAACGAAGCCAGGGAATCTAGCTCCCATTGGCAGGAAAACACTTTGTAGTAGTCGAACAACGGTGTGATGCGGTCGCTATTCAGACTGCTTTTGTGTACGACGCCACTTTCATCAGGCGCTTGGAATGCATTGCAAAACGCATTCTCGAGGATGTAGCGTGCTTGCAGATTGATGGCGCCTCGAAAAAGACTGGCCAGGCTGTCTGGGCTGTCATCTTTCTTCAAGACGGAGACGTATGCTTGAAGCTGGTTTGCCGAGTCGCGCAACCACATTGCTTCGATGTCGCCGGTAATGACAAAAGTCAGTTCTTCCGGTTTCATGCTCATGGGCGGACCTTCAAGCTCGTCGAGGTTACTCGTGGTGTTTGACCACCCTCGCCATTCAATCGTCGTATCTAGTGTACTGGGCCAGGAGTTTTCGAAGATCTGTGGTCGAATCAGCATGAATTGTAACACAGTGGCGGTGCTCGTACGCGAAAGAGATCAACATCTTTGATTACACCTCTCAACCTTTCAATCGTATCCTCAACCTGTTGCGAGCGAAATGTCCGACACGGTATAATCGGTCTGGCGTAGCTTAAGTTCCATGTTCCTTCTGTGTAAGGCTCATGGTAATGAGCGGCGTAATTCTGATAGAGTGGACATTGAGCCAATGACAGGGATGGCAACAGAAGCGAAACGCAGGGAAGCAGGATCTTTGTGGTTGACAGCCACATGGCGTAGACGGCGGGCCGATAGTCGCCTGGCAACCTAGTAATACGGTACAAAATGGATAAACAACTAAAAAAATATCGCCGAACCGTTAAGGAGTAACTGATCGCGTGTGGTGCTCCTAGTGAAAGGTGTTCAAGCAGAGCCAAGCCGGCACGAGCCACAGGTGGTCGGCCGCGACGGCTAGCAGCGTGCTACTAATATGGACCGTGTACAAAAGGAGCAATCGCGATACGAAAGCGTCCCTCATAAGAAAGAAAGACCATTAATTGCGGAGTATACCCACTACCGAGGCAGTCCAGAGTATTTCATTTGTATAGATTGCATGCCAAGGATCTCCTAGTCAAGACTACGGAAACTCTGCACCCCGCCCGCGAATGCCGAGCCACACCATCTCATCAGCCTTTCACGATAGCTCTTACTCTCTTTCTTTCCTCAGCATCCAATACCCAGGGTATACCCGACTCGCCTGACGTGTCATCCGCTACTTCCGCAAATTCGTCGTCCTCCATGTTTAGAATCAGGGTCATCTGAGTACTCTTTTGGAATGCATCGCGAAGTGAATACGCGCCACCGCTTGTAGCGGCGGTGATGATACCAGCAACGTCACGCTCGAGCCTAACAGCACCCAGCTCGTTGACTCTACCATAGTAGCTTTTGATGCGCTTTTCGAGCGAAGATGCGAGAGCGTTCAATCCCAATGCCAGGAGACGATCAAAGTTTGCTGAGGTCAAGATACGTTTGATGGGACGGATCACGACTCCCCAACCGCGGTCAAAACGCGACTTTACCACATCGATATCGTCCTCTTCTTCATCTTCATTTTCGCCATCCTCGGGGTCGTACTTTATGTCTCGGAACGCCTCAGCCAGGATCGGTCGAATACGAGGCTTGAGGACGTTTGAGAATAAGACAGTGATGCCGTCGTTGAGCAGATCTCCGCTCTTGGATGCAAATGACTTTTCCATTGTTTTCAGTGTGTTCTCAACGAATACAGCGTCATGCCCGAATGGAAAGAGGTCGTGCAACGGTGATTTTGTATCCTCTTCGCCAGCTTGCGAGTGACGGCCGAGCTGCTGCGAGACTATTCGTTTGACGTAGTCGTTCGCAATGTCCAGGTTGTTGATGAGAACCAAGAAGGCAATAACTTTGTCTTCGGGAGGAAGACCGCCCTGAATAACGGGCTTGGGGTAACTTTCGTCACGCATTTTCCGTTGTATCATACCGATGAACTCTGCGCCTAGGATATGGCTTACCGCAGGCACGACACTAGAGACGACGGCACGTTGCGAGGTTGCCAGGGTTCTCTGAATTACCTGATTGACAATGTACATGACATCGTCGACTGCGGAGGTGATGAAAGGTGGGTTGGACCCAAGAGGTTTGGTTGGATTCAGCGTGAGATCTGCTGGCGCTTCGTCCAACTGGAAAGCCTTCTCCACCGACCTACGAAAGAAAAAGGTTGTCATGGCATTGACAGGCTCGATAAGATGGCTGTTCACTTTCTTGTGGAGGTTACTGGTAGCTAAGAAATTGGGCATCACTAAACCGTAGTCGATGCGGTCTTCAGGCTCGGCGGGCTGCAAAAGTAAGTTGTTGAAAGCGAACATGTACATTTGCCACTTACTGCACACTTGTCAGAGAGGAAACGCGCATACAGCGCATACCGTCCTAGCATTAGTGCGCCCTCTCCAAGCAAGCCATCAATCTCTTTCATGTCCACTCCCTCGTCTTCACTGACTCGACCAGCACCGTTGGCTGGCGAGCTAGAACGAGGTATTCCAGAAGCAGGTTTTTGGGAGGGAAGAAAGCTTTGGACAAGGAAGGAGAAGGCATAAGATTTGATGTCAGTCAGCTTGCGGTCTATGTGACGCTCTTCATGCCATGTGTCGAGCACGATGCCGCCTTGCACATCGGCCTCAATTTGTAGACGTTCAATGACCTTCTGCATCATGCCTGATCCGTAGTGACGCTCGACCAACGGCTCGTGGCCATCAACAATCTGAGCGATATGCTCGAAGAGTTTTGTGATGGTGTTGCCGTAGAAGAAGGGCTCATTCCTCTGAGCTGGCGCAGCCGAATTGAAGTTTGTCCGCGCACGCGAAGCTACTCCCTGGCAAACATATCGCCCGTATGCATCCAGGCCTACATCTGTCCGTCCGATCAAGGGGAACAGTTTGAAGAACCTCGTCACCTTGGAGCCGTCGCCCTCTTGCGCAGCCTTTTCGAACTCGCGCAAGAAGAGGCCACACAGCGACTCTGCTGCTGCATCTAGCGTAACACGCGGCGGATCCGGCACCTCAGCAGTCGGCACAATCTCGTCTGCGAAACTGCCGTTTACGACGTCGTCGGGTATTTTGGCGGCGCGGTGGAGATAGCCAGCAGCTGTCTCCCAGTCTTGTGGAGCTCCCATGGAGCCATGGACGCCCAGCACACATGCCTTGAGTTCTGCCACCTGCTCCACCACCTCGAGTGTTGCCTTGACATTCGACTGTTCCTGGTCTAACCGCTTGACGGCGCTCGATATCCGGCTCGCAGTCGAGGCGGCGTCGGAGAGCATGCCATTGCTGATGGCGCGCGTGTTGACGGCTTGGGTGCCGAGGTGAGCGCGGAGCAGATCGAGGCGACCGAGTTCGCGCGAGAGATGCTTCTGCGAGGCGATGAGGGCGTTTAGGCGCTGGGTGATGCTGGCTTCGTGCTCGTGCAATTGGCCGAGGGCTTCATGGATCTGAGCCACGCTGGCGGCGGCGAAGATGTCTCGGTCGTCAATGTCCACTGCCATGTTCAATCATGCTGCAGTCAGGGTGCAGATGTCGAGGAACATCAAACGTCGCGTACTGGCTCGCGACTGTTGATCATCTATTTCTGGCCCTGCAAGCTGTCAAGCGTTGGTGGGCGAGCGCCGATCTCTTGGCCGGTGACGTCTCAGGGCCTGGGACTCGCACGATCAATGCACCCGTTGCCCCTGCAGCGAGATTACATTACATGTTGACGGGCAAGGAACTACGCGGAACGGCCTCCACCGTCGCATGTTTCTGTTTACCTGCCCAGAGTCCCGTCGCAAGTTTGGTATATCAACGTTTGCTACCTTTGTCTGCGGCACGGCTTTGGCCCCCAGCTGCTGTGTAAACACCACCAACCCGCGCACCAATCACCCTCGCATCTAGACCTCTCAGCTGTACGCACCACGATTACGCACCAACGGCCCGCATCTGCACCGAGAGACTGCGCCTTCCTCGTACTCGAACAAAAGAAACCCCTTCACCACCCGCGCCTTCCCCTCCGCTCTCTGCGACTTCCCTCTGCGACTGCGATTGCGCCTTGCTCGTACTCATCTCCGTGGTGCCCTGGACCCTGTCCAAACAGACTTCCCAAAGCGTTCTTGCCTCCGGTCATTCAGCGCTCCTCCACGTGCAGTCCAGCCTCGTGCACCTCACCCAAGACATTCCAGTCGCAAACACTATTATTCATGCTTCCACGGTAAAAAAGCACTTCACAGTCAATTATACCATCAGGTCGAATCGCCGGTGCACTAGCACTTGGCAGCATCCACCGTGACCCACCTCAAGCCATGGACTCGACCGCACACCTCCTCTATGCCGCCCACCAGCTGGATGCCCGCGCCGGGGGCATGGGCGGCGATACAGGAACCCGCCCAGGCTCATACAAGATTATTGGTCTTGTCCTAGCCATCGCATCGGGAGTCTTCATCGGGACATCATTCGTTATAAAGAAACACGGTCTATTACAGGCGAATAAGAAGTACAATGAAGAGGCGGGAGAAGGCTATGGATACCTCAAGAACGCTTGGTGGTGGCTCGGTATGACACTCATGATTGTTGGAGAAATATGGTAAACACCACGAAGCGTCAGATCCGGACCTCCTACTAATACCTGGTAGTAATCTCGTCGCATACGCCTTCACCGACGCCATCCTCGTAACCCCTATGGGCGCCCTCTCCGTCGTCATATGCGCTATACTGTCCACCATATTCTTGAAGGAACGCTTGAGCTTTGTAGGAAAAGTAGGCTGTTTCAACTGCATCATCGGGTCCGTTGTAATTGCAGTAAACGCACCCGAGCAGTCGTCTGTTGCGCGCATTCAAGACATGAAGAAATGGGTCATTGCTCCAGGCTTTCTGAGCTATGCAGGTGTCATCATCATCGCATGTGTTGTTATTGCTCTCTGGCTCGGCCCCAAGTACGGAAAGAAGACTATGATGGTCTACATCACTATCTGCAGTCTGATCGGAGGACTGAGTGTTGTCGCAACCCAAGGTCTCGGTGCTGCCGTCGTAGCGCAGGCTTCTGGCACATACGGCGGACAGTTTAAGGAATGGTTTCTCTACGTGCTATTAGTCTTTGTTGTGGTCACGTTACTGACGGAGATCATCTACCTGAACGTAAGTCCATCTCTCTTTCTTGGCCATGTGGAGAATGCTAAGCTTTGCCCAGAAAGCCTTGAACTTGTTCAACGCTGCTTTAGTGACACCAACATACTACGTCTTCTTCACGTCTGCGACAATCGTCACTTCGGCTGTCTTGTTCCAAGGATTCAAAGGCACCCCACTCCAGATCGTCACTGTCATCATGGGCTTCCTACAAATCTGTTCCGGCGTCGTTCTGCTACAACTCTCCAAGTCGGCAAAGGATGTGCCGGACTCAGCCGTCTTCAAGGGCGATCTTGACCAAGTGCGAACCGTCGCAGAGATGGAGGAGCCCGAGTACGAGCCCCGAGCTGACACTCTTCGTGGTGGCGCAGCAATCCTCAGGTCACTGTCAAAGGCTAGGTCGCACAAGGAGCTCGCTGAGGCTAAGAAGATCCAAGAAGAGCACATGGAGCCGATTGGTGAAGGCGAACAGGTCGAATTTGACGGTCTCCGAAGACGGAAAACAGTCCTCGACCCCAGTCGTCCACCGACACGCAGCGCTACTGTCGTACGGACCATCCACCCGCCTCTCGGCATGTCCCAGTTTCCGACCGATGAATCAGACGACGATAACGATAGCTTCCACCCTGGTTTCTTTCAAAGATTACGCTCCCGGGGCAAGTCTACCAGTAGTCGTGGTAGCTCACATGCTCCAGGGACTTCAGGCATGGGCATGCAGACATTGCCCTCCATCCCACAGGCCGATGGTGCTTCGGATCGCGAATCAGATGTCGGATCCTACAAGCAGACCATGATGACACAAGACACATCCTACAAGCCGCTAGACAGCCACATACATTTCGCCTCGCTTCCTGATCCGCCCCGCCATGGCCATGATCGTCAAGACTCCAGCGATTCACTTGCTCCCCCAAGACCACCTCCCCATATGGCCAAACGACAATTCTCTTTCCAGAACGTCTTCTCCCGGAATCGTCCTGATTCAACAGGCGAATCGTCCAGTAGCAGACGACCGGCTAGTAGGCATAGTCGGAAGAGTAGCAAAGAAGGCAAAGCAGCGGCTACCGCCACTGAAGAAGAAAGACTGGGGCTTGTCAAGGGCGATTCGACAAATCTCCTTCCTATTGCCAGCCGTGGAAGTGATGAGCTGGTTGGACCACCAGGCTATTCAGATGACTGGGATATGCCCAGGAGTTCAAGTCCAGGATACTCACCTGAGCGGCCGCACGTCATACCACCACCGATACGCAGGGTTGATACGGACATGTCAGAGCTAAGCCCAAGAGACCCCAAAGAATTCGAGAAGGGTTCTGGAAACGGAAATACTTTCTTATAGGGCGTAGGATGAGAACTTCCCCATCTTCTCTTCTGTTCTCAATCAGCAGGTGCTGTGGCATCATCAGTGTCTTGTTTAGCTTCTTGAATGTCGTTTTGCATAGTGGACGGTGTTGATTTCGATGTTGGCAGATTCTTGTTGGGCGCTGGCTGTATATCGAGCGCTTGCGCGGCCGACTAGCGGTGGATTTCGGCCTGTGAATGTCGTAACGACCCGCATCGGACGTTAATGAGTACTGTTACATACATGAGCAGATAATGCCCCATGGGCTTGTATACGTAGATAGCAGAAGGAAGACGACTGAGATACATGGTCGTAAGGTACATATGTAGATTTATATCATGATGATCACTACCACCACTTTTAGAACCCATGATCGCACAGAGTCCTACCGCCCTACTCTCTCGTCGTATACTTTAAGATTTGTCTTCCATACTATCTCAAAAACAGAGAGGAACTGGGACATGTGTACAGCGCGTTCTTTCACCCCAAATCTTGGATCCTCTTCTCATGGCTCGTCTATGCTTGATTCAGATTCTCACTCTACGTTTTGGGGAATGCTGTTGCATGCATGTGTAATACATGTCTCTCATACTTTTCTCAAAGCTACCGAGGCTTACGCTTAGCTGAACGAACGACAATCACAATGACACCAGAACAATACCACTGATGGTCACGGTGTTACTCCAAGAACCATTGAATGCATTGATAAATCCTCCAGAAGTAACGACCGAAACTACAATACACAATGACAACTCCCTAAAAAGTAATGACCGAAACGGGTATCTGACACCACCCCAGTAAAGGAAGAAAAAAAAATCAGCAGCTTGTGCGAAAACCTCAATAGACAAGGTCTATGGGAGTTCCCGAGCCCTCACTGTTGAGAGTAGAACAGTGACCATCCCGACGCTCATCGGTATCAAGCTCCACAAGGAGCGCCATCGTCCGGAGTAGGCGTCTGCGTAGCGACTGACTGTAGATACATATCGTGCTGGAACGGGAAGATTGTTGATGAGAGGGCCATTGAGGGTACTGTCGACCCATGTTTTGAATATCATACCCTGTCCGAAGCGAGGAAAGAAGTAGTTGATGAACATGCGTGATCGCAAGGTTTCCTTGACGGTTATGGGGTTCATCATACGGCCTTGATTGACGGCGGCGACGGCTCGATTAAATTGAGCGGCCTGAACTTCTGTAAAGATCGAGATGACGTCTTCTTCCATAAATGACTTTCCGGGTTCCTTGGCTTGTACTGCTATAAGTAGGGTGGTCGTTAGAACGGCAGCCGTTTCGATAGCAGTGTTGGCACCTTGTGCACTGAGCGGATGTACCTGTTGCGACCAATATCAGTACGTTGCGTGTCAAGCTACCCTCAACTCAATCTACCTTGTGCGCAGAATCACCTGTCGTAATAATCCTTCGGTAATACCAATGGGTGAACGCATTATCTTCAACACTTACAAGCGTCGTTTGCAATCGATTCGCATACAGGTCCTCAAACGTGACTTTGTCTGTAATACGGTCCTGGAGATGCCGCTCTACCAGCGCCTGTTCATCTTCTTTCGTATACCTAGGGATGTCTTTTCCAAATGTCTTCGGCGTCTCGGTTATCAAAAACCAGTAGGTACAGTCTTCGGGAGCGGATATGACCAGGTAGTTGCAGTCCTTGAAGAATGCATTGAGCCGCAAGGGCGACGCCGTAAGGCCAGAAGGTCTTTTGGAGATGCCAAAGATGCACTTGGATTCGCATTGAAGGTCTGTAAAAGTGTCAACCGCGTACGTGCAGCAGCTCAGTGAATACTAACCTCGAAGTGGGTCGAATTTGAAAACTTTCAACCCGTCCTCATCTGCAATCCTCCACATCTCTTGTCTGACAGCACTATGAACGCCATCCGCTCCAACAACAAAGTCACCTGTATACGTTGACCCATCCTTGGTGTAGACTTTGACGCCTTCCGACTCGTGCTCTACACTACAGACACGCTTGTTCGTCAGAACACGCTCTTTAGATTTGAGATTGTTGTATAGGATCTGGAGTGCAACTTGACGATCGATGAATATTTGGGGGTACCCGATTCTAAACAGACTTGTTAGAACTTCCTTGAACAAGCAGATCGCATTCTAAGACACTCACCTCTCCTCTAGCTTTTGGCAAACTGTCTTGTCCTCCGGATCTACCCACAATGTTCCACCAAAGAGACTCATACACGCTTTGTAATGGGTATCCCCGACCGTCTTCTCAATCTCGTCGTAACAGCCAAGCTGGTCCAGGATGCGCAAACCGGTCGGAAGTAGCCCGACGCTTGCGCCAAGCTGAGGTGCAATACTAGAATGCCCTTCCAGGAGGATATAGTCCATGTCGAACTTTTCCAGCATATTCGCAAGACTTAGGCCGGAAAAGCTCCCACCAACGATGATGACTTTGAGGCTCATTCTGCACGACCCTGGAGATTCTTAATTGTAGTTGTAGTTAGCGAAGTATGAAGAAAGCAAAACAGAAGTGGACTTCTGAGATTAATAAAGTTTATCAACATTGTGATCGAAGACGTTGCGTTGGTGCTGCCAGAAGGAGTCATGACTTTCGGTCGCTCAGTGGACCAAATCATCTCGATGTAGACAAGAGTTCGGTCACTCGAAGCAGCGAGCAGTCGGGATATAAGGATTATTTCGTCCGATGGACCGTGGTCATCGCGAAACAGTGGGGAGTTCGTCCGAAGACATGCGCTCTACAGACTCATAGGCGTAGACACGTTCAAGTCTTAGTAGATCGGATACGGAGCTTATAGTCACACCCGGGGCCGGCGAATCGGATCATTGCAACGTAGAGGAGGGTCTGCTTCAAGTCTGGCGTGTCTTCATAGACTTGTACCTGTAACAGAGATGTCGAGATCTCAGCGAGCTCAGTGACGAAACTTGTAGCATCAAACAGGTATAGTCATCCCAATAGGATGCTGTCGCAGAACTTCTTGTGTTCCGCCTAGCTTTGCGTCCTGCGCCGTACGTGATTGCCGCTTTCGCTTGGCTAGCCTGGGCAGATGCAATGACAAGAGCGACCGATTAGAAAGCCTTGGTGCATCTTGTCATCTCGAAGTTCGACAAGTTTTGGTATTGGTTAGACGAGAGTCTGCGAAAGACGCACCAAGTCAAACAAGTGAAGCTGAAGAAATGGATGATTACTTGAAGAGAGAATGGGGCAAATAGAGAGCTGTGTGTGTGTGTGTGTGTGCGTGTGTGTGTGTTTGTTTATGGATACATCAAGATTTCGTCTTTACCTTCACTTTTTATCTTCGAGTTGCTGCTTCCGGTGGTTGGCACGCAGTCAAGACACCTACCCAGTATGTTGTCTTTGGTAAGTACTACGCATATATGCATTTGTCGTGCGTCTATATATGTATCCAGAGGGAGGTGGAGGGACAAATACGGGTGGAAAAGGGAAGGGGTCCGTAAAGCGCACCAATATTTCCCTGCTAGTGGTTGGAGACGCAAGTATACCTAGGTAGGTTTTGGGGTAGTAAATTGAACCTGCCCTCTGTGTTTGCTTCAGGTTGGAAGCTCAACAACATCGATTCATGCCTGCGCTTAGCAGATGGGAAGGGTCGGTGGTACTGGGCGACGTAGTGGTGGTCGACGATTCTTGCGCATATTTGGTCTCGTTGCATGAACATCGGCATCTCCGTGCCTATGCGTAAGCGTGTCTCCAGCGAAGCGGCGGTGACAAGTTTGTGAAGGTTGCAGTGGACAAAGCATACAGAGCTGGTGGTTGAGGACGCGATGTGCACGCGGCTAAGCAGGGTGCTTCATGCGTGATCGCGACACCGCGTGACCCGCATCTGCAGTTCGCACATCAATGGATCTTGGTATGCACCCGCGGACCGTCGACCTGGAAAACCTGGTACTTGGATCTGGGCTAGACGACGGGCCTGGTCAATACCAGAAAAATACCGGAACACTTGCTTCTGATATCCTGCATCTTCCACCTTGCATAATGCGCTTGAAGCGTGCCGGGATACGAACACTCTGCATGCGCCTAGCCAGACACCGTCACGAAAAGTAGTGCAAAAATAGCAAAAAGAAAGTTATCTCTCCAGCGGGGAATTGAACCCCGGTCTCCCGCGAGTTGCCTGTGATGGTGACAAGCGGAAATACTGACCACTATACTACTGAAGATTGACCAACCAGAAGGTTGAGTAGTTGATTGGTGGAAGAATTAAGAAATGGATAGAATATATACTTAGTTTACAATACAGCCGCTGCTGTGCACAATGTATCATTGAATTATGTGTTCTCGATGTCGGCTTGATGGTGAAAATTTTGTGAGTGGGTCGTCGGGTGGGCAACGGGCAACGGACCTGACTCAGGGGTGCTTGCGGAGCCTCGAAAACGCCATAAGAAAATGGTTAGATTACAAACGTCAGAAAGTCGACAACATTCGCCATGTATCAACTCATTGACCACAGGGTGCATGACAAGCTTCACTCAATGTGAATATATTGCATCACCACTTGAAAGCTCCGATCTCGTCATATGGAAAAGATGATGGCACGTGGTAATTCAATGCTAGCAGAATATCATAATTTCCATCTACATAGTTCTCATGTCGTCATTAGTCAACAACACATATCTAAAAAGACATGCTGCCGATTTAGAGGCCACGCCTGTAGATAGTACCAGCACCAGTAAAGTTACCGGTCTGAGTAACAAAGTTCTCAGTGCTGCTAAAGTCCTTGACCTTTCCGAGGAGGATCTCCAACATGCGGTAAGCAACACCGGGAGTGTAACCGGGTAGCTCGTGACCGGCAAGACGGGCAGTGTAGAAGGTCATGCCACGCTCAGAAGTCCAGTATCCCTGGATACCAGCGCCAGCAAGCGCACCGCCGTTGTACTCTGGGTGGTAGGGTGCGTACAGAGGGGTAGCTGGGTACTCAGAGAGACCCTGAGCGCCGTTCCAGGTCATGTTCTGGATGGCAAACAGAGTGCCGTTGGTGCTGAGGAGCATGTCGAGATCACCAGAGCCGATGATGGTGTTGTTAGTGTACTCGATAACGTGCTGGAGAACACCGTTGTTCGCAGGTCCAGGGGATTGGTCAGAACCCTTGTCGTCACCGTCGCCAAAGACGTTGGTGTTTGTGCACTGAAGCCATTCGGTGCTGACGTTGGCGTGGAGCGCAAGCTTGACGTCCGTGCGGTTGAAGTAAATTTCAGCACCTGGAGGAGAGTAGTCTCCGGTGTTGACTATGCCGAGCTGCGAGTACGGGTGAGGGCAAGTCTCGGTGATGTGGTAGATGTTGAAGCAAGGGTTGACCTCGAGAATGGCCGAGTAGAAGTTGTCAAACTGGTCGCAAGTGTAGTTCTCCGAGCTGTATGGGTCCGGAAGAACTGGGAAGGCACCCTCCGGTGGGGGGAACGTGAAGTACTTGTCCATGTAGTCGGTGTAACCACACTCCTTGTGGTGCTGAGTGATCTGCTCCATGAATGTGTCGTTCAGGAACAGCAAGTTCTGCCAGAAGTTGACGAATGGGAGAAGGACAACTTGCTGCTGGATGGTCTCATCACCAATGATAGGGTCGTTGATGGAAATACCAGCAAGGTTCCAGTACTTGTCGTCCTTGGCATTGATGAAGCTATCAGCAATGTAAGGAACATAGTAACCGGCGTAAGACTCTCCAGTAATGTATGTCTTCCAGTTGTAGAGCCCAAACAGGTCAACGAAGCTCTTGTAGAAACCACGGAACTGGTTGCCGAGCTCAACTTCGTTGGTAATGTTGGGCGTACCTTGCGAGTAGCCAACACCCACGGGCTGTTCAACCCAGAGCATATTGGTCAGGTTGGTCCATGAGTAGGGGTTCTGGACGGGCGCCAATGTGCCCGACTCCCATGTAAAGGGCCCGTTCTCGGTGAGGAAACCGCTGAGCGAAGAGCAACCAGGGCCGCCATTGAGCCAGATAACAACTTCCTCCGGAGTTTGGGCTTGGGTGGAGGGGAAGAACCAGAAGAAGAGCTTTCGCGTCTCGTTCGGGTCGTCCGAGATGGGCAGAAGACCAGCGTAGCTCTCGCCAATATCGAAAGGAACCTCTGGGATTCCAGTACCGTTGACGGCAAAGGCTACCAATTGATCAGTCGAGCTCTTGTAGTATATTGAATAGATACTTACCCTCGGTCTTGTTAGTCAAGAAGAAGCTTTCAGCACGCCTCTGAATCTCAGGGTGCTTGAAAGACTCTCCAGGCATACGCCTCTCGACAGCAGGTCTGACCTTGTCGAAGACACCACGCTTGTGTGGTGAGCTTCCAGCCAGAGCTGTGGAAGCACACAGCAAAGAGCCGAATACTGTAAGGAGCTTCATCTTGGAATTGACTGATGAATGCGGCTGTGAGCTGCTACGGAAGCAACGAGTTCAAGAGCTCTATTTGAACGCTTGCTATGTGACGGCATTTCTGTATACAGGCCTTGCGCTTACCCCGGAAGAGCAGGAGGTTGACGGAGTACCAGCAAGGCTCGGTAATAAACCTCGCAAACGCCACATTCTGGGTCGTGCAGGCTGTGCTATCGGGGTAAGATTCGTAGCCGAATGGCGAACGATGCGAGATGACGCAATAGAAACAGAGGCACAACCTTACGCACCTTCCTGAAGCGCTTGTATACGAAGATTAGGCCGAGATTCTTGCACGTAGCTGGGTTGTGATTCGACACGGCAGTGTTTAGTGCATCCTATGTGCCCAGACCAGTTCAAATGTAAGCCTCGGTAGCGGATGCTTGTCGAGGCTTGGTCAAGCTTGCGGGCTGGCGTGCGATAGCAATGCGAGCCCGGCTACCGTAGGTGTATGCGATAGCACGCAATATTCTGCTCGAGTGTGTTCGTAAAACCGTTTACTAAGGGCCTTGAGGAGCTATCTTGTGGCGCTCAACTGTCATGGTTGCTGTATTTACAGAGTACCGCGCGTCATCAGGCCCAACATAAGCGTGACCAGGGCGGGCCGACGCATGACGATCCTGTTCAGGCTGGGAAATGAAAAGTAAGCTACAAGAATCAAGGTCAAACACCAAGGGCCGACTGAGAAGTTTATTCATTGTTCCTGAGCGCTTTTTGATGTTGTTGGAATATGGAGCGCCACGCGGGGACAGCCGAAACGTTGCTTACAGTCGCGTGCGCCATAGATTGTGGAGGGGAGGCTGCATCGCAACCAGCCTCTCTGTAGCAGTCCCTCGATCTTTGCCTTCTCAACACCAACATGCACCACGACTTAAGGGTTCTCCAATGGCATGTCACAATGCAGCATTAGACAAGAAAGTGGAGGTTTCCGAGTCCAGAATATGTACCCTGTGAACTGTGGCAGGCGGCCGCATCTCGTGAGAGGCGCTCGCGTGGAGACGTCGCCACGCGTTACTTACAGTCGTATAACATCCGATTGAGCATGACGCAAGTCACGTGTCACTGCTAATAGCAAATACTAGGCAAGGTATGTTTGCACACTGGTGGTCTCATTCGTTGTCGCGTCTTCTAAATGCTCATCACTGGGTGCATGGCCTAGCTCAAGGGCCTCAGGAAGTTCATGTCATCGAGCAACTCTCTGGCATCCTCGACGTTGTCTTCTTTTTGCTTCTCTTCACCCATATGGATGCTCAGATCTACAAGGCCGTCCGCAGGCGGGGAGAACTGACGCAACTTGACACCACTTTCAGCAAATATCCTAGCTGTCTGGTCGTCTACAAGATAGCCTTGGTTGTAGACTACCTCGCTAATACCGACTTGTGTTATCTTGACACTGCAGGTCAGGCAAGGGCAGGTGTTGCAGTATAAGATGGCGTTCTCGCCGATGCGATCACGGCCAGCTTCGAGCAGAGCATTTTCTTCGGCGTGCAGGCAGAGACACGTGGAGAGACCGACACCTCCTTGGGCGGCATTGTTGCAGCGGGGACCTGTGTGTTGTCAGTGGGGGTGTTTTCTGGCTCGCAATATGTAAAGGTACGTACATCCGCCCTCGTTGCAGTTAGTCATGCCGCGTGGTGTACCATTGTACCCGGTGCTAATGACACGTTTTTCCCTGACTATGCAACAGCCTACCCGTCGCTTCATGCAGTTGCTCCTACGTGCTGCCAGATCGGCTAGCTGCATGAAGTATTGGTCCCAGCTCGGCCGCACACGTGCTTCGTCCATGAGGTCCAGGTGCAGTATGGCGTTGCGTAGGACGCTCATGTCGGATGAGGAGTTGAGCAGCTTCAACTGTGCTCGCTGGCACAGCGCGCTGAGACCAGTCTTGGGAGCGAACAAGTGCTGGTCGTTGCGTAGAACGAAGTCCTCGAGGGTTGGCGGTGTGTGCTGGGTGGCAGCACAACGGGCCTTGAATCGTTGCCATCGCACACTGACGGGCGCATCTACGCTGACGAGGAGGAAGAAGGGGCGCCTCATAAGGGCATCAACCACGGTTTCGTCCCATATATCCGTCAGGACGAATCGCTCTCTCCATCTCAGCGTGACGAACTCGAGCAGCGCATCGACGTCTGGGAATGTGCGCCCTGACGCAGCGGGCGACTTTGCTGGGGAGGGGACGCGAGTATTCGAGGCCGACTTCTCCTCTGGAGGCGTGGCAGCCGTTCGCACCAGGCGCAGGCGGGTGAAGTGGTGCTCCTCAACGAGATAGGAAGCTATCGACGACTTGCCCGCGCATATTCCTGTGCTCTGTCAGCATCCTCTCAAACCACATCTGACGGTGCTTGCCTCCGCACAATCCAAGAAGCATGGCGATCACGGGCCGGCCAGGTGCGATGAGCGTTGTGGAGCGAGTCGGTGAACGGGATCGAAGCTCGCTGTTACTGACAGCGGCTAAGCGCGTGCGGCTGCAGGAACGCCTTCTAGCGCGGCCCCGCCTAGACCCATGACATTGATCATGGCGGCAGCGGGGTGAAGCGTGAAGCGTGCCGCTGCCTCAGCCATCACTTGGACGCTCACTGTCACATGCATGCGCCCTTGACCGCCTCACCTGTCTCGCCCTCTGCTCTTATGACTGCTGTTGCCGTTGCATCCTAGGTCATCATATACCTTGCATCGCCACGCATCTCGCAGCCTTGTCCATACCCCACCATCCACTCCACCTCCCAACATGTCCACCCTCAAGTTTGCGCCTTGGCTGAGTGATGTCGACGTCCAGTTCTATGCCGCCCTAGCACATATCAAGATCAACCATGACAGGCTCGACGATTCCGCGCGTAAGGTGCTCGGCTTGTATGAAGTTCGTCCTGGAGAGCATTCGTCGCGATCTATGCGCGTGCAGATACACCCCAATGCCCTGACTTCAGACGAGTATGTCTTGACGCTTGACTCCATCCCCGCCCCTCTGACAGTTTCAGCACCCCTCCGACTTTCTGTCGCGCCGAAGGCATCATCAAGAACTGCAACACCATAGAAGACTACAAGAACCTCGATCGCGCCGCCATACTCGAACGATGCGCCCAAACCATATGGGACGCCATACACGACGGCTCCATATACGAATGCCCCTCTCTTCTCTCCTCCTTCACAGCCATAATATTCGCCAACCTCAAGAAATACAAGTTTACCTATCACTTTGGCTTCCCTGCCATACAATCCGACCCACCGTGGAAACAAATAGGAGAGGCTACGAGGCTGCAGGCCAGAGAGACTACATACCTGGTGGATGCGGTACAGACGTGGCGCTACAGCTCTGATGTCCGCCAAAGAGGCTTCTTCCTAGCAAAGCGCATACAAGGAGGGGGCGACCCAGAGGAGAGGCCAAAAACACCAGTCTCGCCACTCGAAGAGTTTGGATATATCTGGGCTATAGGTAGACTCGAGGCCTATGAAAAGGGCTTCTTCGACAAAGTCGATGGTCGCGATCGCTTCATATGTTTCGCAGACCCCTCTACCTACGAATCCAACCCTGGCTGGCCTCTCCGCAATCTCCTCGTCTTGATGCGGCATCGGTGGCATCTGAATGATGCTCAGATTATGTGTTATCGCGACACCCATACACGGCGCGACCAGCCCAACTCTCTCATCCTACAACTACGTGCAGACCCAACTCCCGATGCGGCACCCACCTTGGAAGCACCAGAAAGTCGCCCACGGACGCCAAAGCTACCCAAAGTGACGGGCTGGGAACGGACAGAAGCTGGCAAGTTGACATCGCGGAACGTGGACCTGTCTGAATACATGGACGAGCGCAAACTCGCTGACCAAGCTGTCGATCTCAACCTAAAGCTGATCAAGTGGCGCATAGCTCCCACCATCGATCTGGATGTCATCAAGAATTGCAAGTGTCTACTGCTCGGAGCGGGAACACTAGGCACATATGTGTCAAGAATGCTGATGGGATGGGGTGTGAGGAAGATTACGTTCATCGACAATGCAACAGTCAGCTTCTCGAACCCTGTACGGCAGCCTCTCTTTAACTTTGATGATTGCCTGAAAGGTGGCGCGAAGAAAGCCGAAAGAGCGGCATCGGCTCTGCAAGAGATCTATCCAGGCGTCGATGCGACCGGGCACGTAATGGAAGTACCCATGCTGGGTCACCCGATGACTGACAGCGCCAAGACGAAGATCGAGTTCGAGAAGCTGCAGAGGTTAATCAGTGAGCACGACGCCATCTTCCTGCTTATGGATACACGAGAAAGCAGATGGCTACCAAGTCTCATGGGCAAGGCTTACGGAAAGATCGTTCTCAATGCCGCGCTAGGCTTCGATACTTATGTCGTCATGCGACATGGTCTAAAGGCGACTCAAGAGGGAGAAGTAGAGCTAGGATGCTACTTTTGCAACGATGTTGTTGCACCCGCAGATGCAAGTAACTACACATCAGTCTGAGCGATACACAGCTAACGCAATCAAACAGTCCCTAAGCAACGCCACCCTCGACCAACAATGTACTGTAACCCGCCCCGGTGTAGCGCCCCTCGCATCCAGCCTACTCGTCGAACTCCTCATGTCTATCCTCCAACACCCTTCAAAAGCATGTGCACCACCTCCCTCGCAGCAAAACTCAAAATCTGCCCCAGTCCCCACACCATCTCATCCCGCACTACCACCACCCTTCCAACATCCTCTTGGCACCATACCCCACGCAATACGAGGCTACCTCTCGACCTTCTCGAATATACAAGTAGAAGGGAAGCCGTATGATTGCTGCTCAGCGTGCAGTGACAGGGTGCTCGAGGCTTACAACGCAAATCCCTGGGAGTTCATCTCTAGGGCGTTGAACGAAAAAGGCTGGGTCGAGGAGATGAGTGGCTTAAAGGAGGTGCAGAGAAGAGCTGATGAGGCGGCGGCAAATGTAGAATGGGATGAGGAGGATGAAGGAGGATTGGACGAAGAGGGCGAGATGCTTTGAGGAAGACGACACAACGATAGAGTGCTATTCAACAACAGCTTATGCTTATTTTCAAGTGATATACCCTGCTACCATGCGCTTGTAGTGCACTACATGAAGTCTTCGTATCCAGACACGTGCATGAGTAATGATACAACCTCACATTGATGCTACCGTACTACAGATGCCAACCATATACCATGAGAAGTAGGCAACTCCCTTACCGACCCACCACCCTGAAGCTACACTCAGAAGCTCTGCTATCCAATTCCAGAGAGAGCCAAATCCTTATGTTCCAGTACCCAAAGATGCTCGTTAAACTCTCTGTTACCCAACCTCATCTCTTGTGCATATACTGACATAATTCCCTGCTAGTTTTTGAACATGTCACAGAAAAGCTGGTGTATCTTCTCTAACCAAAAGTAGCCCACCTCTCAGCTTACCTGCACTACCTTCCAATGCCGGCGTACTCTTCCTCTGCTTCAAGAACCGATCTGCCATCCGTTGACCAGGGGTAACGCTCTCACTCCGCTCACCATTGAGTACAGTGTTGATAGTTCTGCCTACAGAAATGGTATCCGGAATAGGTTCCTTGCTCATGGCCAGAGAGCTTGACGAAGTCTCGATACGTAGTCCAGGGCGCCGTAGGTCTGGACCGGGAAGTGAGGAGACATTATCCAGATCGACGACAGTGGGTCGGCCAATATTGTTGGCACCACGGAGGTCGAATGCACTACGGGGCCGGCGAGCGAGTTTCTCCGAAGACATCGGGCGGAGGGTTGCGCGAATGCGGGGACGCAAAGGAGTCCCTGCTGGACTGGGTTTTTGCTTGTTTTCGTTCCCCTCTGGTGTGTGGTGTTGACTGATGCTAGGCGAAATACGTGGGGTGGTTGACGGGCAAAGCAGCTGTTGCGAGTTTGGTCGCGTCGACAATCCCAAAGTTGACACGATCGACTTCTTTTGACTGCATATCGAGGGAGGGGTAACGTTCTCTTTCCTTCTAGACTGCGCATCGTTCTTTCTCAGTGCAGTGTCTGACACACGCTCTGAGGTCTCATCTGTGGCGGGCATGGACGCATCAGTGATGGCTTTGGAAGCAGGTGTCAATCTGGGCGAGGGTTGAGACTTCGTTGGGACGTGCATAATGGTAGGTGATTTAGAATGTCGAGAAGACAAGCTGTTGCTGCTCGAGCGTCGGCCAGTATCAAGATATGGGAATCGGTCGTTCATTGAAGGCGATCTGGGTGTCTCAAGCAAAGACCGTGGAGTAGACTCCGGGGTTCTCGGTTTTGCAAGCGGACGCTCCGTGCCGGAAAGCGATGTTGATTTGATCTGAGATGGCTGATGGTCCTTTGCCGTATCACTGGTGTCTGTTGTAGGATAGCTGCAAGCATTCTTGTCATCAAACTCCAAGGATGACGATGATCTCTCAGCGATCAGATCGGCTGCTTTTACGCCGCGCTTCTCACCGTACTTGGATTCTAAACTGTCCAAGCGACGAGGAACAAGCGAGTCATTTGTCTTTGTTGAATTATGGGCCCCTGGTCGCGGTGTTATTACATCAAAAGATCCTCGAAGAACGAACGTCGTATCCTCGTGCTCTGTGTGAGTTGTGCGGATCGGATCGGATCCTGTCTTCTTAGATGGTGTTGTGTATTGATCGTGGATCCTCAAATCATCTTGACTGGTGAACTCCATGCCTGAAATCTCATGCGATAGCCAGGCCCTCCAATCCCGACTTGTACGCGTCGATGCCTGACGTTGAGGGGAGGGTGTGCCCACTACATAGCTTCTGACTGACTGGCTAGTGGAAATAACTGCTAAGCCACCATCCTGAGACCGATCAAACTCACTATGCCCTCCAAAAGACATGATGCTATCGTTCGGGAGGATGCTGACACCATCTGTATCCCGTGAATATATGCTGGGGGACATTGGCGTCGCCGCAACACGAGATGTTGGTGACGCGGAAGCTTTCGGAGATACGGGAAGTCTATGTATGTTGTGATCAACAGACCTAGGTACCGATGCTACTTTCATGTCATGTTCAATAACTTTTGCGGATTCTTGAGTCTGCTGAGCAAAAGTTGTGATATCGTAAGTTCTGCCTGTTTCACGCGGGAAGTGGAGGCCCTCAGCTTCTTCGAGTGGTGTTTTCCATCGTTCTTTCGCCTTTTCTACGCGCTTCTCAATCTGCAAGGTCGATGGCGTGAACACTTGAACAGCACAATTGCGCTCAGCACTCTCACTATCGTTCTGGCTGTCGTCTGATTCTGGCGCAATGTATGACGGAAGTAACCCGTCATCTCGTTGCTGCTCTCCTTCCGCGCCATATATACGACTTGTGGCGTCTGGAGCGGGCGACGAGTGCTGTCCGATGGGTGTGACGGTGCGAATGGTTGACCTGATCGCCCTGCCAAAAGACCTGATTGTGCTAGTCTTGCTCTGCGCACTTTGGGACGTAGTAGGTCTTCGTGATGGTGGTCTCTGGTCCAGTTCACTACTGCTTCGAAGATTGCGGCTGCCGCCTGAATGCAAGTCTCGTGGGTTAGAAAATAGCTTCGTCGTGCTGGATTCGAATACGTCGCTGTCCGCTCCAGGTGTTCGTTGAGCAGGGCTTGAGGACGACTGTTGTTTTGACGACCCAATCTCTTTCATGAGCGCAGAAAAGACGCGTTTGGGATCGATGGGCGTTGGTGACTCTTCGGTGAGAATCTCCATGGGCATTGGGTCACGAAAAGCGGAGAGAGCTGGCAGAGGCAGCGACTTCCGTCTAGGGTTAGATGTAGAAGCATTGTGATCTGCTTCGCTTCCAATGCTATCCTTGGATTCGTGTATGACAGTCATGCGCTTCAGGGCTCGTTGAGTCAGCGTATCGCTTGTAGTCGATGCTCCCCAGCTTGTGACTCGAGAGGCTGATATGTTTGTAACATTGGCTTCGCTATGGAGACTGCGATTGCTTCCAGTGCTATTGCTTCGAGACCCAGTTCTGAGATAGGCTGGGTAAGTTCCCTCGAGTGACGGCGTTCGGGCACGAATGCGGTGCAAGGTTTCTTCATTGGGAGGGGGTATACCCAATGCATCTTTGGCGGACGGTGGGCTATAGTGTGCAGTATGAAAGTAGTCGCGACTAGCATCAATCTGCTGAACTGGAAGGTTGGCTGATTTGCCCGATGCACGCCGAAATACTTTCTTAATCTTGCTTTTGAGAGAACCGGAGAATGACCGCTTCTCTTTGATCTCATGGGATGATATCATTTCGTTCAAAGCAAGGTCAGTCGTCGACTCGTCGGGTGTGTGCTGTTTACTCATCGGAAAGGAAGAGGATTCCGATGCGACACGCTTGCCTTTGTCTTTTCCTCTATCCTGTCTCTTCTTTAATGACGGAAGAAACATGGACGGCTTGTGTTTCACTGCCTTCTGTTGGAAACCTTGCAGATATTCATCTCGTGCCATGTCAAGCGTCATGTCAGGCTTGACTGTGACAGGCACGTGGGGGCCTGCAAGTGGTGACGGCCGAAGTGTTCGGGACGATAAAGGAAGAGACGAGGTTTCTGACACTGGACTGGCACTAACTAGAGGCGGTGTTGTAAGGTATTTGGAGGGTGGTCGAGCGATCGGAGATCCAGTTTGGACACTGCTTGCGTAGTACATAGAGCGTGCCTTGCGTATTTGTTGTGAGGTAATTGAAGTCGAAGTATTCTGTCGAAACGACTTTGGTTGGGAATTGGGTCTGGCGTTTTCACTGAATGTGATAGAAGACTGTGTTGATAGATATCGCGGCACGGAAAGTGATCCATGGACGTTGGGAGCAGGATAGAAGGGTGGAAATTGCTCTGTGTTCTGGTTTGTGTTCTCTGTCGAGGACTGGGACAAGCGGTGGGTACTCCTAGTCTGCTCAGCGTTCGGGCGCTGCAGAGATCTGAAGCTCGAATCGCGTGGTGGAAAGTGGCTGCCCTGGGATGTGAGAGACTTGCGGCTGGCATTGCTCTTGGACCTTGCCACCTCAGAGCTACGTTTTGTGGTGCGCTCCGCCGCATCTTGGGCCTGCGCTCGAGCAAAGGCAGCTGTGGCCGCAGCTAGAGCTTGCTCTCTGATCGTATCCAGATCCGGTGATTCGGTGATGGAAGTGGAATGCTTGTGAACGGTAGACGCAGACTTGGATCGGCGGAGACGGACACCCGCATCGCTATTCGCGCGAGCCAGCATCACAGTTGCAGGATAAAACTATGGTCTGGTGGAGTAGAGCGGTAAGAGGGTGCAGCCAACGTAGCGAAGTAGTGCTAAAGACGTATTGACGGCATGTAGCAGAAACAGCGGTAATGGGACACAGCCAACAGTATGGTATGACAGATGTGGTCTGGACGTGTGGGAAGGAGAATGACAGAGTGTATACCATGCTAAGCAGGAAAGCGCACCTCGAGGATGGTTATGTTTTGCAATGTGAAGCCCCACGCCGCTACTTCTTACAGGTTGTGCAGCAGGCGCGTAGAGCACTGCAACTGTCACCACGAGGTGTGGCTGCTATCGTCAGTCAACACCTGCATGTTTTGTCTGCATGTCTTGTCTGCATGTCTTGTCTGCATGTCTTGTCTACATGTCTCGAAAGTGCCTTCCTGCGCATGTTGTTGAGAATGAAAAGTTGATCTGTCCAATTGTGGGGTATCTTCAATCTAAAGCATAAAATCTAAAACCCGTCCCTGTGTCTGGTAAGCTCTTCACCTTCGAGTGCACTGGTTTGTCTCTCATCCTCATCCTCAGTGTGTACTTGTAAGTAAGCGGGCTCTTTGTCTCCAACATCGATAATCCAAGTCACAACAGTCATGAATGCGAACACTATGACAGAACTCAAGAATGGCAAACCCAACCAGGCACCGCCAACACCTATGCCCAGTTGAAACAGCTCGTTCAGCAGTGGTCCAGCGACCATTGCGCCAATGCTCTCAGCCATCGCAATGGTGCTCATTAGTTTGCCGATATCTGGGCTCGACTGACCGCCAACGACATGTATGGCCACGGATCGCATAGCAGCGTTGTATCCTGTACCCATGTTGTAAAGAAGGAGCCCGACGACGAGGAGAGAAGGGTGCGCCGCGATACCCATGACGAAGAAGGCGACGGTGGTAAGGACTATAGATACCCGTGCAATCCACAGGTCCGCCCAGTGTGCAGGGAAATGCAGCTTCCTCAGAAGAAGAAAATTGACTAGAGGAATTAAGACGGTGACGGCCACAAGATTGGTAGCGGCGCGGAATGACAGCAAGTAGGCAGCTTTCTTGATCTCCCAGCTGTAACGTTTCGAAGCGTAGCGAACCAGGAGTGAGATACACTGTCTGCCTAGTCTGTTGGCCAAAAAAGTGAAGACGACCATGGCCAAGGTCCAATCGCTCTTGAGGAAATGTACTGCAGCCTGGAAGTTGCGCAATTGTGCTCGCACTGAAAAGTCGCTGGTCTTGGGGTGTAGCTCAAAAATCTGGTCGTCGCTATCTTTGGGCTCGGGCAGGTCACGGAGATGCAGCGTCTCCGGAATGAACAAGGCCACGACGACACCCACAATTTGTATGGCTAACGACAGCAATAGAGGCAGCCAGTTTCCACTTTCCATAAGTCTCGCTGCCATTATGGGTGCCAACATCTCCGCGACAAGAACGCAGGCTGTGAGATACAGAAAGATTGTGGTACGCTGTTCTGGGGGCGCTATGTCAGAGATCATAGTAATGCCGATAGCCATGGCCACAATTGGACCGCCGCCGATGATGGTGAAGGCGCTTGAGAGCCATGTCAACTGTAGAGGGAGAGACTTGAAGTAACCTGACGGTGTTAGCGTGGGACCTCAATCTTGTTGTTCGCCTTCTTACATATCAACAGCACCCAGACAAAGCCGAGCTCTATTCCCACCAAGCTCGCTATGAATATCCACTTTCTACCCACCTTGTCAGCCCAAGTACCGTATGGCACAGCTAGAAGAATGCCCGGCAGCGCGCTGAACATCTCCTGCCAGCCGAAGATGCTCGCTAATCGCTGCTGCACTACATCCACCTTGCATAGCTGCTCCGGTATGCTTCCATCGCCAGGTATCGCTGAGGGGTCTTGTTCGTGGTAGTATTTGAGGCAGAGGTTCGCTTCGTAGAGACGCGTCATGGGCGCTTCGGCGAGGTAGGCACCTACGTCGATGAAGGCGATCATGACGAAGATGAGGACCACAAGAAGCACCCATGGCTTCTTGGTCGCTTGGGGCAGCGCATGGTGGGCCGATTCCGTCGGGGACACGAGCGCGTCGTTTTCTTCGATTGATGCTCGCGGCAGGTCTGAGGGCAATGCCATTACAATGGCATGTGCGTGTACCGCAAGATGTGCGACCAAGGGCGGATGTACAGCTCACACTTGTGCCAATGTGCCTGAGCGACGCGACAGCTAGAACAAGGAATGCACCTGAGCAATAAGCAAGCTGCGAAGAATCGGTAGGTTTCGTTAGCTAGGAATCATCGTGAGGATATGAAGAATGAACAGGGCATGTCTTGTCATTTGCGACAACGCTGCAACCGTGAAACGACTCCGTGATTACTCCGGCCGTCGCGTTGATCCTTCGAACGCCGAGTGTCGAGCGTCTCGTTCATGCGGCAGAGGTTACGTCAGCAGCCAAGTTTAGCCTGTCAAGTTCCGCCCCGCACTAACTACTCCGCTGCCATCAATCTAAAGATCAGGCCATTGGTGGTATGCCGGAGTAATTCGTGCCTACAGTTGTTCATGTACTACCCGATGAAGCATGGACCCAGAGGATAGCAGGTATACGTGTTTGCTATAGCTACTTAGTCTCAGGTATCACTCCACCGCTTTCGTAACCATGTTAGGTCCGATGAAGCCACTTGAGCAGATGGGAATGAAAGCGCAAACGGCAAGAAGGGAGCTTTGTTGCATGCACGTAGCTTCTGTTGTCTTCTAGTGGTATACTGATGGCACCGCTTGGACGAATCGCACGTGATGGCAAGGCCATCAATGTCCCCTTCACGTCGAGCAAACGCTCCGGTCATGTTACCAGAAAGCAAGTGAATGTGTTTTCTTCTGGTTTCGTATCCAGAAACGACATGAAAGTATTCTACGCTACTAGACCTGAACTTCTCATCTACAGTTCATAATACCACATCCTGACATACTCTTTATCATACCTGTCACAAACTTCCTTCAATATCACCCCCTTCAAGAGATGAACTCCGCCGACATATCTACCTCTACCAGATACAACTTCGATGACAACCTTCAGGGTGCTGTTTCAGGTGGCGGTAACCGTGTGTTTAGGCCTCGTCTGATGTGTATCAATATATGTTAACGATTCGCTGTAGTTCCCCAGGATGCGACGGCAAGTACCTTTGTAGCTAGAAATATTACCCCTTCTCTACCTGAAGGCGCCGATGTTGCTCTCTGGAATATCCTCTGCGATGGTATGTCTTTTTCACTTCCAATCCTCAAAGCTGGTTTCGATCCGCTGACTATATTACCTTCACAGGTCCTTTCACTATCGATATCGCCGCTGAGAGTGGCACCCCTCAAGCCAACCCTAGTCAACCTCAATTTCTCAAGGGTGTTACCTTCCACGTTGACAGAGAGAGCGAATGGAAAGGCACTGTTGTTCCCTACATCCGCCTCCTCACTTTTACGATTGCCTCGACTACTGATACCTTCTTCATTGGCGCCATGCTCAAAGCCCTACCGGATATCGCCAACAACATTCTTAGAGTCGACATGAACGGCTTCCATTGGTTCTCGGGTGTTTCCGACAATCGCAAGTCTAATCCCTTTATAATTCTCGCTTCAAATTTGCCTTCACTTAGAGAAATGTCTTTCACTCTACATACTTCGGCCATCACAGATTCGATGTGGGGAGAAAGGCAGCTTCTTGAGCTGGAGCGCACAAGACCCGACAAGGCCAAGGAGAGGAGGGTGACAACAGTTGCTGAGGTTGTTGGCCGGTATGGTATGGCACAAATCTTCAATAGTAGGGCTTTGGAGCACATCCGGTTGGTTTACATCAAGAGCGAAATGATCACTCCTTTCATTGTGCAGAGCACGCCTGAGGTTGTCCTCGCCGACATAAGGAGAAGGCTCGTGCAAGGCTTCAAAGAGCATGGCCGGGAGGTAGTCGTGGAACTTTCGCTTGCTGCTTAAGAGATTGTGGACATGTGAAGTATGATGAGCTGGACTTTTTGGGACAAGATAAATTTTGAACTATATGTTGAAGATCTCATGGTCTAGTTTGGATATAAGACCAAATATGAATATGGATATGGAAGGGGAATGATCGACTCTACTATACCTCAACGCCTTTTCGCTACCTATGTTGACTTAAGGAAATTGCGCGTGCCTCCGGGCATAATTTTGAAAGGAAAATGCTACGCTGAGTTACCACGGTGTCGTTTCTACTAAATGACCTTCACTAGATGAAGTTGATCTCATCCTCGTCCTCATCCTCTGAACCTCTTCTTGCGACATCTTCATACAGACTCTTAAACCAGCTTCCCTGGCGGTCTAGTAGCTTGTGAGGACAACCGTACTCAACGAGTTGACCCTTGTTCATGACGACGACCTTGTCGAAGTCGAGTATTGTATCGAGCTTGTGGGCGACAGTGATGAGGGTGTGATGTGGGAATCTGGAGCGGAGGAGGCGTTGGACATGGGCGTCACTTGCAGCATCGAGACTAAACGTTCATTGTTAGTGATTGACCTTTGGAAAGAAAGCGGTTGGTGAACTTACTTGCTAGTAGCTTCGTCCATGACAACGATGGTTGACTTGTCCTTCTTGAGCATTGCACGTGCTAAGCAGAAGAGCTGACGTTGTCCGTGCGAGAAATGCAGGTCCTCGACTTCGACGTCTAACGGGTGCCCGTACTTCTCAGCATCGCCCTTTGCAACAATAATATCCCACAGTTGTACATCCTTCAACGCAGCCATGATGGCTTTGTCATCAGATTCTTTCAAGGGATCAGCATTCAGGCGAACCGAACCGGGAAGTAGGTAGGCGTCTTGAGGTAGACCGATGAGTCGACTGCGAATGGTTTGGCGAGGTATCCGAGTAAGTGGAACGGAATCGATGGTGATACTACCACTGGAAAGTTCGACCATACGGAAGAGAGAGAGAACGAGCGATGATTTTCCGCTCCCCGTGCGGCCAACGATGGCAACCTTCTCACCAGGCCTGATGGAGAGGGAAAAGT